AGAGAAATCACACCCCAAGGGGTATGGCCATGCTGTAGTCTCTTCTCCTCCATTCCCCTCTTGGGATTTTGGGCACATGTGCCTGGCGTGTTTTTCAAAGTATCAGGACTTAAACCATGAAGTTGATCATGTGGGATCCAGCTGCCTAAACCACCGAGCTGCTGGCTATCCCATACCACACTCATATTTTAATTTCATTTATCCATGAACTTTTGGAAGAATCCTCATATATTATTTCAACAGATATAACCCAATTATAAAAAAATACTTCAAGCATTATATTGGCACTAAGTACGAATCATCTATCACACCTTATAGATGGCAGTTAACTACAAAGAAATTAATTTTTCCCATATTGTTGAACCATCTAAAAGTTATATAATAAACTTTCATTTGGCAAAACGGATTATAGTTAATGAAAAGGGTTTGTAGACAAATAAATGGGCTGTGGCTTTATTTTCCTGCCTTGTTTTAGAAAACTGGAGAAGGCTCTCATAAGACCAGATCATTTCACATGGAAATTAACCTGTCTCTCTCTTCCACTGTTCTACTAATGGCCACAGGACTAAGCCAAACTGTCCTAGACACATCAGAGAAACCAACTGGCATCCCCCGAACATGTAGGAACTCAGAAACGACAGCAGCCACAACCCCACACTGAAACAGACCTTAATGAATTCTAAGCAACTCCAAGATGAATCCTTTGAAATTCAATTCTTCATTATTCTCCAATTCTATGACCTCTTGCTTACCAGCTTTTCCCTGGTAAAAATTTCTAATGAGAGTCAATTGCTACAGGTCTTGGATAACTGTATCAAAATCTGAGAGGATAAAGAGAGCTCCTACTTTCTTTAGATTCCTTAAAAATGTGAGGAGGGAGATTAGGGTGATCTATGGATAAGAGGATATTGAAAATTAAAGATAGGTGATAAACTAAGAGCTTTGAAAATGGTAAGTTAGTAATGCAGTACTGATCTACACTTAAGATATAAAATTGTACCACATATGAACACAGTTCAAAATATCTCTCAATCAGAGTAAAATACATACCTCAAAGCAACAGAGGCATAAGGTTAAATAAATAACAATAATAAAACCAGAAAATTGTTCTAGGACAATAGTAGTATTATCCTTCAGGCCATTTAAGTGAACTACCATAGATGAATTATTAAACTGAATAACCACAGAGTATACGCAGGGGCCCTCTAATAAAGACAGATTAGGGACCAGCAGATGGCATAATGGTTACATCACTAGACTCCTATATAGTCTAATGTAGTTCGAGTCCCAGACCTGGCAGCTTAAAACTCACACCGAGTGTGTGTGTGTGTGTGTGTGTGTGTGTGTGTGCACATGCCCAAGATCCTGAGAGGAGAATGGAGGAGAAGGGACTACAATGTAGCCACCTTCCCCCCTCCCCCCCATGGGTGAATTCTCTTTCTGTCTCTCTGTCCAGTGAGCGCACACACCCAAATAACAAAAATCTTGCTCAGGAAAGAAAAAAAAGATGCTATTAAGGCAGTCTTGACTCTTTTTTCCCTTCTGTAAAACCAGTTAAAAACAAAGAAAATCAAAAAGAAAATGCTATCTTCAAATTAAATAATGAGAGACTATCAACTTTAAGCTATACATTACAATAAATACCTGCCAAACAATCAAATTTTGACCAAAATAAGAAAGAGGTATTTTCAGATCTCTGTTATAAGATAGGGCTCTTAAAAAAACAAATGTTCCAGGACTAGCAGGTGGCATAATGGTTACATCGCTGGCTCCCACATAGTTGACTGCAGTTCAAGTCCTGGGCCCAGCAGCTTAAAACTCACGCCAGGTGTGTGTGTGTGTGTGTGTGTGTGTGTGTGTGTGCCCAAAATCCTAAGAGGAGAATGGAGAAGGGACTGCTACATGGCCATCTCCCCTGTGGGGTGATTTCTCACTTTCTATTTCTCTGTTTTCTTCTGTCTCTCTGGTGAGCAAATGCACCCTATAACAAAAATCTCTCCAAGAAAGAAAACAAATGTTCTAGTCTTGAAAAATTCATCAAAATCTTCATCAGCAATAAAACTGGAGAACATGGGCAGGTCATAGGAAAAGCTAAGAATGTTCTTCAAAATATCTGATTTAATGGAGGGGAAAATGAGTTGGGAGAAATGTAGTATGGGGCAATAATTCTTCATCTTTCATGGTATGAGCCTAAAGCTGAAATCAGTTTAAAACTATGATTCCAACACTCAAATGTTTTTCTAAATCTTCTTGTTGTCAAGAAATTCATGGAAATCCAAACAGTTATTTGGATTCATCGAAGTTCCATCATAAAATGGTAGCAAGCTGAACCACAGGGCCAGAAGCCCCAGAAAGGGAAGCAGGAAGCCAACTGTGGGTCAGATCCTCCAATCAGCCTGAAAACACCCTGTGGACACGTGCATATTCAAGTCCCCATGAATCTGAGGGTGGGGAAAGTGGTCACACCGTGATGAGACCCTGTCCAGACTGCTTCTCTTTCTCTCTGGTGTGTATGCACACATTCGCTATCATGAATAAAACACACTTTAATAAAAGTAAAATGGATTTTAGTGATTTTTTTCATTTCTCAGCTATGTGGGATCCAGCTTCCTTTGCACAGTGCTTAACTGCTGCAATACAGGGGTGGCCCAATGTGACTCTTTTATAAACATGGTAAAGGTTTTATTTATTTATTTTTAAAGGTATAAATTGTTGAGAAACTATTTCGCGATCCACTAATTAAAACTGCTTATAGTGGGACTTTAAAAGTAGTGGTAAAGAAATTGGGAAAAAAAAAATCTCTTTTTGGAGGTTTTGTCATAGGACGTCTGCTTTCCCTGGAGAGACAGAGAGGGGTAAAATGAGAACCTCCCTACCCCCGGGAGAGTGGCCATGTTATAATCCCATCTCCTCCATTCTCCTCTAAGGATTCTGGGCATGCATGCACACATGCCCGACATATTTTTCAAGCCACTAGGTCAGGAACCTGAACTGACTATGTGGGAGTCCAATGCCTTAACCACCATGCTACTTGCTGGCCTCAGGAAATGTTTCAAACATCTCATACATAATCAAAATTATAACACAAATATCACAAGATACTTGTTTACTTAAGAAGAAACATCTTGGGGCTGGCCCCACAGCCTAATGGTTAAGGGAGCTGGATCCAACATGGCTGACTCTGAATGGCTTTGAATCCTAAGTCAAGTGACTCTGGAAACACATTAGACACAAGTGCCTAATAGGTGCTAGAAAATATTAACTAAAAGCAAGAAGACTTTTTAATATCATAAACACAAAAAGTCACACAGCATGTAAAAATATCCACTTAGTAAAATGGCAGGGAAAAGACTGCTTATGATAAAGAAATTCTCATTAATTCATCAAATGTTTATTGATTATTAGTCCAACCATGTACTATTTTAAGTGCAAGGAAAAAAGCAGAGATATATAAGTAGAGATGAGGAGGAGTAGGCATGTTTAACAGACATGAGATTTAGTACTGGCAAGTACCAAGGAAGGTATCTGACTGTGGTGGAGGTGACCAGCACTGGGTGGATGGTGGGACCATCAATTCAGACTGAGAGTGCAAAAGGAAAGAGGTCTGGGGTTTGGGGATGGGAAGGAGAAACAACCTAATGAAGAATGAAGATGCATTCAGCCAGAATTTGTGGCAAGGAACCATTTCAGTAATAATAGACACGACCTTTAGAGCAGTGGGCTTATTCCATATATCAATGTTTCATGAGAAATTGCACAGCCAGACATGACAGAAAATTAAGTTGAGAACAGCGTTGAGGACTAAAGTGAAAATTTTGGCAGGTGGAGAAAGAATTAAAGTAGTGTTTTATTAACCATATGGTTAAAGGACAGGTGACTGATCTGTAGTTATTGATCAGGGAATGCTCTGAAGAAAGCTAACACAGCCAATCTGTTCCTAAAGGGGTGCAACTATCACCTTCAACAAAGATCAGTCCCACCTTCTGTCCTATGGTTAGATCACGGGCTGAATGAACGGCAACAAGGGCAGGAAATTATGGTTGAGTAAAGAGGAATGTTCTTCTATTTCTTCTTCTTATATAAGACCAGAAGGACCTATTGCCTTTAGAAAATTTTCTAACAGTTGGGTGTAGGAATTCTCAAAAACAATTACTACTAGATAACAAAGCCAGGTATCTTTCAACAGTAGACCTAGATGCCAAAAGAGTTGCTACCAACATTTAACCTTAAAGTTTTCCAGATGGGGGGACCAGCAGTTAGCGTAATGGCTATGTCGCTGGACTCCCCCATAGTCGACCGTGGTTCGCATCCCGGACCCGGTGGCTTGAGACTCACGCCAGGCACATGTGCATGCGTGCCCAAGATCCCGAGAGGAGAA